GCTGTGTCATGGGATGGGGTCCCTAAGGATGGCCACGATCTCCTAAGGCCCTCAACCGTGCCAATTTGGCCCGATGGACACCCTCAGTTCTCGCCCGCCACGTCTTTGATGAAAATATAAAAATAGGGAGGCTGCCTTTAAGTCCTCTTGGACACGGTTTGATGGACTCTCTGAACCCCGTGGGTTCCCGGACCCCTTGTGGGTCCCATTTCACAATGGGTGCTTCGGGGTACCCTAGCCTTATGGGCTATATACGTGGCTCCAACCATCCCTTTACCATGCCCCAAGCCTCGCAGATGGCATCGACGTTGTCCGGTCTGGGCCTTACTATGGTTTGGCCCCCTTGTCCTCTCTGGGCTTCTCCATGTGCAGGTGCAGGCTGATTTGCCCTCTGGCTTGTTGCCCTGGTAACCTGCACCTGGGCTTTTGTTTCTTCTAAGAGCAGCGCACCTTAGTGCCCTGCGACAAGCTGACTAATTAGCTCCACAGTAAAGTGTCACGTGCACATTTACATGTGCATCCATATTAGGGCTCAGTGGATTAATTAACTGTGCTATAGGATAGTATTGTCCAGGACAAGTACTATCCTACAGTGGGGTAGGTATGTGTGCTGAAACACACATGTAGATGGTGACTGGGGTTGGCTGGGGCACTAGGGTGCTGCAGTGTGGGGGCTGCCTGTCTGCTAGCCCTGCACGGTTTTATCCTCATGTCCCAGCTAGCCCCTCCAAGCTGGTAGGCTGATCCTTCCAGCCTGTGGATTTTCCAACATGGCTCAACATGCTGCACTCCTGGGTGCATGTGTAAAAGCTGCACCCAAGAGTAATAAACTCCAGCACAAACTGCACTGGAATTGATTGGTATGTGCTCATTGCACTTGTAGATGCACCCAGTATTATTATTGTCTTTAACAGGATTAGTAATTTGAGATATTTCCCTTTTATTACAAAGTACTAGATGTTACACTGAGATAACCGCTATGACTCCAAGATCTTGTTTATTATCTTTTGTTCAAAAGCTCCACACAGTATCACAGATGAGTCTGCTGCTTCAGTGTTACAACACTGCCCGTTTGCCTCAGCAAACTTATGAGTTTCTACAGGACCTCTCCTGACTGTAAGACACCTACTATGGTGTAAGCAGAGATGACCATGGCGGGATGTGGGGCCTCGGGCAAATCAGCCTGTGTAGGGCCTGGGGGTGGCGGGGGGGTGGCGAGTCTCCAGACACAAAGCCAGTCCAGCTCTGTGGGGCTCCCCAAAGCACAGCGCCCAGGCCAGATGCCCTGATTCACGCGCCCCCCCCCTGCCCTGCTAGGGATGGCCCTGGGTGTAAGTACTTTTCTGACTGTCAGTCTTAGCTTTATAGTGAACAAAGAACAGAAGAAGAAAGCGCTTTAGAGACATGTAAGCCTGATTGAGCATTTGAGAGAAGGACCCAACCCTAAGGTGAGTTAGCCATGCAAAGAGCCCATTTCTTCTCTCAGGCTAGTTTTGCAGCAATGTGACATCAGTGGAGGTTTACATGGTTCATTTCAATTGAGTCACTCCTGACCTACACCAGGTCTATACCAGGGTGACAGAGGGCTTGTCTACATGTGATGCTATGTCACTGTAGCAACATGCTACAGTAACATAGTGCTGATGGGCAAAAACCGTGACACCGCAGCTATGTCACCGTAGCAATGCGCTCTCCCTCATTATAGCATGCTGTTACGGTAACGTAGCAGCTAAAAATAACTGTGCACAGCCAGCACAGTACAGTACAAGTGTTACAGTGCTGTCATTTAGTACTTCCAAAATAAGCACTAAATGATGGCACAGTAACAATGGTGCTGTATGGCTATGTGTAGACTGTCGTGAATCAGAGCAGCCGCCAGCAGCCGCTTGACTCACACACCGGAGTGTTTAGATTTAGAGCTCGGCAGGCGGGTAGTGATGGATGGAGTGGAATTAACCAGGCACAGACACGTGTAGGTTACAGGAGTTTGTTTACTTACGTCACCTAGCTAGTGGTGGACGACGCAGGCGAGCCTTTGTTCTGTTACAGCTTCGGTTATAGAGTTGAATATACGCATATAACTTCGGTTACAGAGTCAAGTACACGCACGCAGTTAGGTTACAACAAGATAACGACGGACGTGGCGCCGGGAACGTATGGTCGCGCTTGCAAGACTTTCTACGTCAATATTTTACGCTGACGGGGCGATTGATTGGGAATTGATCAATTTCCCAATTCTCTGGTGACAAGCACAGGTGTTTCCTGTGAGATCCCCAGAGCTCTCCGCCTTGGGCGGAAACCGTTAAACTATTTATAGGCAGAGGTGTTTTACAGGAATATCCAATGGTGAACCGTTATATGGAATCTTTAATTTTTGGCAGGTGGCAGCTCTTTGTCTCCTCAAGTTACAAGGTAGTGGGTTAGGTTTCTCTACCTGTTACGTGTGTGCTACGTGTGAGGAGCTTACGTTTATCTTTGACCAATTATATATAGTTTCCCCTAGCATTTTATTTCAGCTGACCAATTATCTACAGTACTCTGGCCGCGTTTTGTTTCAAGGAATTTTTGGCAGGGATGTCTTTTAACCCTTAATATTCAAATGAAGATGATTTGAATGGTATCTCTTGCTCAGTGGCATGGGCACAAGTTAATTGGGTTGTGACATAGACATGCCCAGAGAGGACATATGGGCTCTGAGCATAAAACAAATGAGGATCTCATTAGTTGTACATGGAAAGCTAAAATTTAGAGAAAATATTTCAAAGGTTCATATTGTTTTATTCTTAAACTAAAGAAAAAAGGAGAATCTGAGTTGCCTGATGGCCATTCTGACCATGTGGGCATGCAGGCAAACTATCAGTCATTAACTACAATGAAACTGAATGCTATAGGAAAGACAGTACATCCCAGGCTGCCCAGCACTTGGGCTTCTCAGTGGGTGCCTCATATCTCATCATCAGGTTTTCAGGTGTCTGTTATAATCACACCTTGCGCTGCCTTCCCTTTCCCTATAACACCACCGCTGGTTATAATGCTATGAATTCTATTACAGCTTATATGACTATTTGGCATAAAATGGAGCAGGAAATTCAAGGCCAGTCTACCGAGGTCCAGAATTACTCACTGTAGCCAATTGCTGTTCCTAAGGCCTGTTTTCCAGCACATGGTGCTGTGTAATAGTGAATGCAACAAACTTACACTGTACTGTAAATTGGGGTGGGTGAACAGGACTGACTCCTCAATTTACATCTTCACTGACTGCCTGCCTCACATGCATACCAGCCCAGCCTCTGGCTTCTTTACTTTTCATTCCATCCAGGAAGTGCACACACCAACTGCAGAAACTTCTTTTTTAAAACCTGAAAGTTTGCTTAATTTTTTCCCCCCCAACTACTTAGGTTGGTCTAATAAAAGATATCAGATTTACCCAAAGAACCTTGTCTGCCTGTGACCTGGGTGACACCTAAGGGGAGAGGGTCAGAAGGCTGGAGAGAGGTGCCTTACCCTTGCACTGTTGACTCAGCCTGCCCTTTCCATGGGGTGTCCCTCAGAGCAACTGCTTTGTTGCTGGCTTTGGGGGCAAAGTCTGTGCAGAGTCATGGTGTTGAAACAGCCACTGCTGCTAGGACACAGGTTGCTGTTTGCACTGTTAGCATCTGAAGTCAGACCTCATCCCTTACGATAGTCCCAGGAGCTGATTCAGAGCTAGCTGGTCCCCCAGTAAGAGCCAGAGCCTATGGCTGAATTTCTACCAGGGACTGATAACCCCTAGTTCCTCAGAGTCAAAATAAGACAACAAGAAGGACATGAGGGGAAAGCATCAGCCTCTGCTGCTTGCAGGCTAAATGTGGTTTAGGGGGCAGAAAGGGCTTTGTTGGAGTCCAGACAGGCATCTATCCTATCATGGTGTGCTCAGTTTTGTCTGGGGCCGGCCTGGCCCCTGGGTTGATACCAGGGATCTGTTGGATGTTCATGTTTATAGAAAGTTTTCCATAGTAATTCAGCTGTTGTCAAACTGAAGCTCTTCCTTCCCCAGCATCTTCAGTGTAGCCTCTGTGTAGCCACAGTGAGGTCAGGCTCTTGAATCCAGCACAGCCTACAACACTGAGGTTTCCCACTGCCTCAAAGCAACAAACCACAGTGGCAGGGCTGAGGTTTTCTGCACAGAGCACTGACACCCTCCCTGGCTGTTCAGGGAAGTTCAGAGCACAGGTGTCAGCCTGGCTTCTGATAGCAGTGGGAGCCATGTTGCTGTGCAGGAGGGGAAAATAAAGTGACGTGGCAGCAGGAGCTAGAAGTGTGCCAGCTGGGTGAACTGTGGAGGGTCAGTTGGGAAAAAGGAACTTAATATTCAGATATGTAAATCAACTTCAGACCATTGACTTCAGGGTGATTGACCAAAACAAGGCCAATCCTGTTCCATGGCACCAATAAGACACATTCCCCATCCCTCATCACCTCTGTATATTGTAATCCGTTCTCCTCTCTCTACATGTTTTTCTGGGTTTAGAGCTCTTTGGGGCAAGACCTGCTTCCTCGCCACCACCACCTCCCCCTCCCACGTTTGGCCATCGCCACTTCCCTTCTCAGGACCCCTGCTCTGCCAGAAGTGTACCCAGAAGGGGTACACTCCTTAAAAAAGTTTGAAAACCCCTGCTCTAGAATACTTGTGCTTACTTGATCCAGCTAGCATGGGGTACAGCTGCAGTGAGGGCACAGCAGTGCAAGCTTTAGGAATCAGGCAACAAACCCTGGATGGAAGAAGAGTTTTCACTCTGGCTGGTAGCTTGTGCTAATCCCCATGCTACTGCATTCTCTCTGCTCTCATTGCCCATATTAACTGGATTCAGTTATATCATACACATTCTTGTGCAGACACTTCCCCTGCTTTCAGCTGACAGCTCCTTTTTTGGTCTTCCCCCGCCACCTTCTATGAAAAGAAAATCTACCCTGCTTTCAGCTGACAACTCCTTTTTTGGTCTTCCCCTGCCACCTTCTATGAAAAGAAAATCTATTACAGATTAGGCACACAGAATGCTGGGGAATTCCGAGTCAGCCCTGGCTGTATTGCTATTGCCTAAACGTCCTTGTTTTTCCTTGCATCTCATTTCATCACAGTCCAGCATGTGGGTGGTGGTATCCTGACAGTGAGGATTAAAATATGTGTGGAACTGCTAGCAGTGGCCATTCTGCTAACACTTCTGTCTCCAGGATAGACTCAAAAGAGAAACTGTCAAGTATTCCTACTTCATTACAACATTAGCTCCTTTGATCTCAGGACCATGAAAAGCTCTTCTGTCTTGCGCCTTATACTGTTGCTAGGGCTGTGGATTTTGGAAAGACTGGTTGCAGGTAAGTCCTAAGCTGCTCTGAAGTAGAGCTATTTAAGATAGGAAAGGTTTACTAGGATGGGGGAGAGAGGGTTGAATCTCATTGTGACTGAATGTGATTCGTGGTATTAAGATGTAATGTCTTAGAATGTGCTCTAATAAAAGTATCTAATAGGCAGAGAGGACCTGGTATTCAGACCTCTGTCAGGGCTACTCACATCACCCCTCTATATATTATTTGGAAATTAGATCGGTGGGGAGAAAGGTGTTTACAGCTGGCTCTCAACAATAAATGGTGAACCTCTTTGACTAGACTCAGAACCGAACAGATGCCCACAGCTGTTTTGGCTGGACATAGACTTCTGTTCCAAGGGCTAAAAGATGTTGCCCAGCCTATCCAGGAGTTTTGAAAAACACTATTCATTATGTTTTAGAATGCCCTCTGTATAATGACATAAGGAGAAAGTATTTATCACCGTTCTTGCAGAAATTGACATATTTCTCAAATACAGGGAAATTAATATGGCCCCGCCAGCAAACAGATCAATATTTAGTAAACCTTCATGCAGTTTTTGCTTACAAGGCTGAAGCTATCAGAGCTAAACATCCTTTATTGTTGATATGACCAATAAACTTTATCACTATGTTTTTTACTGTGTTAATTATGGACCTATGCACAACAATTGTATAGATTCATGATCTGATCTATCACTATATATGTACTTGATTTTGTTAGTTCTAGGAGTAGGAATACTGCTGCTTTTATAACGGTTGGTCCTATTTGAGAAATACTTGCATTCCTGTTATTTTTGTTCAAATTTATATTATGGTTTTATGTCTGTTATGTTACTTTTGGGAGCATGGCTTTCAGCCAGAATCCTTAATAAATTGAACTGAATTGAATTGAATTGAAATGGAGACATCTGTCGAGCCAAGAATGAGTGTTTACCTGGGAGCTAATCTGCATATACATGTGGGCATGCAGACTGGGATAACGGGGCAACTCTATTGTCATGTGTGCAGTTCTGTTCAGTATGTGCAGGAATCTCTGTAATAATCCTTTCCTATGCAATACGATAAAAAACTCATTTAATGGCCTCTAGGGCTTAGCAGCAAGCGGTATGCGTGAACCAGTGATTCTTAGTCATGTTCTCACCCATAGGAAGGTTATCCTCCCATTGAACCAGGATGCTACTCCAGGTAGCAATATGAAAAGGGAAGGGCAGATCTCTCCAGTTCTACACCTGCAACTACAGGAGATGTTTACTGCACAGTTGACTAATTAACTGCACAGTAAACATCTCAGTGTTTACAGGTGCACCCCTATTAAGGTGCAGGCAGCTAATAAATTCGACAGCAGGGTAGGAGCTATAAATACAAGTCCTACCCTTCTGTGGAGTTTATTAGCTGGGCAGCATCTTTGTATTTACAAGTCCTACCCTGCTGCAGAGTTTATTAGTTTCCGAATCCACATCTCATCTGTGTGCAGTCCCCAGCATGGCCAGAGTCTGACCTGCTGTCTTGTCCTAAGTAGAGATGAGGTCAGGCCATGAGATGCCCTAAAAAGAATTAGTAGGGGATGGGCTTATATGGGAGATCTGGCTTGAGAAAGAGCTGAGATCTCCAGGAGCTGCTCTTATTTAGGATGGAGGCTGAGGTCCCTGGAGCAGGAGGCATTAAGACGGCACAAAGTAGCCTAAAGAGATATTAACCAGCCAACCTGACCCCTGATCTGGACTCTGGTTCCTGAAAGCCTAAGGCAGAATCTGAGTGTGAGTGAAAGTGAGCATGACCTAGGAATCTGCATAAGCCTCAACAACCCCCCAAAAGTATGAACTAATGGCAGGGGAGTGTGGGTCACAGATCACTCTATAACCTACAAACAAACTCAGGGGAATGGGTGATCTGGAGGCTGGTGTCAGACAGAGCTCCATGAGTTAAACAGCCAAGCTCTGTGGAGAGCAATCAGCTCAACCCCTTACATCTATGTTCCAGTTAGAACAGCTTACCCACCCTGCTACCTGCTGGCCTGTGTGCTGCGCTCTCTGCATTTACATGCACTGCTGAATTTTCTTTAGGTCTGATTCTGGCTCCTCTTACTGCACTGGAGCGGCAGTCACTGACTTCCAAACTGTGATTCTTGTTTAAGGAACTTTTCATCAAGATGGGAAAATCTGTCCTTGATGTTGGATATTGGACTCATAGCTCATGCTTAGTTACTTGTAACATGTATATGAATCCTTGGGAACCTCAGAAGAGGCTGATTAACTGATTAAAATGCAGGCTGTCTCTGGGTAAATGGAGTCCTCTATAAGGGAGCATCAGGCTTGCCTCTGTTTAAGCTAAAAACAACAGATGTGACTCAGATGGAGCAATGGTTGCTCCAGGCCCTTTATGTTGCTCTGGTGTAAAAGGGCCATATGAGTTGGAGTGGCCCTGGAGAGAACTGTGCGGATGCAGAGCTGATTCATAGAGTCCTTTATTACCTATGTGCAGTCCCCGGTGTGGAGGCAGTTCAGGAGTGGTCCCCACAATCACAGCACAGTCCTCTCTAGGGGGCACTCCAGCTCTATAGCCCTTTTACACCAGAGTAGCACAGAGTGCCTGGACCAAGAACCACAGTCTGAACCTGCCGACTTTGTCTTAAGTAGAGATGAGGTCAGGCCATGTGATAATAGGGGATGGGCTTATAATACTTACAACTATGGGAGATCTGATTTGAGGAAGAACTGAAGACTCCAGGAGCTGCTCTCATTTAGGATGGGAGTTGAGGTCCCTGGAGATATTAACCAGCCAACTTGCTCCCTGGTCTGGACTCTGCTTCCTGAAAGCCTAAGGCAGAATCTGCTTGAGTGTGAGTGAAAGTGAGTATTATCGAGGAATCAGCACAAGCCGCAACGACCCCCCAGCTATGAGCTAGTGGCAGGGGGGGGGCGGTCACATATCACTCTATAACCTACAAACAAACACAGGGACACAGCTCATGCTTAGTCACTTGGAACACATACATGGACCCCTGGGAACCCTAGCACAGGCTCTTCCTCTAACTGATTAAAATGCAGGCTGTGCCTGGGTAAATGGAGTCCTCTAAAATTCTTTAACTGAGCTCCAACAGAGAAGATAGGAAAAAGTGAGCATACAGGCAGGGAAGCAATGAAGGTGAGCACATAGGCAGGGAAGCAACGATTTGTCTCTAAAAGAACCATGAAAAACAAGGGAGGTTGTTTGAACTGATACAGAGCAGTTGCAGACTGAAAAGTGATTCAGACAAGTGCCTTTGCAGGGTTGGATGATCATATCCCCCCAGTTAGCATCAGAGCAGATTTGTTCGATTTACAGATCAAGTCAGGATGGGCCAGATCCTCAGCCAATGTAAGCTGTTGTCTCTGTATTGACTCATCTTTGAGCTCTGCTAGTTAACATCAGAGGATATGCTGGCTGCCTGCTCCCATCTGCTGGCACCACTGACTCCTGTGGAAATCTCAGCTGCCAAATTTGTAGATGTTGATTCAGCAGAGAGCCAAGCTTTGCTGTACAGAGCTGCACCCGGTCTGCTGTGCTATGTTAAACAGCCAGGACCTGGTTTCCCAAATGAAATGTAGACTCCAACACAGACAAGGAGCAAATATGATGGTGACTGTGCAACATGTGCTCATAAGGAGGAGGGGATCAAAACCATGGGGCGGGGAGAGGCCACAGTAGGGTACATTTAGGTTACACTTGCAGTTCATGTTACCCCATGTGTGTGGAAGGAGGAAAGAGGAAGGAAGGACTCATATATTAGCCTCTGCCTAGGGACCCTTAATATCTAAGCATAAACTATAACTCTAAAAATACCATATAATCCCTAATGATACTTTCTTTGAACCTTTCTTCAGAATCCAAGGGACACTCACAGAGGATGGTGATGCATGGGAGGACAGGGTTTATTTGTATAGGCACCACTGGAGAGGAAGCTGGGTAAATACATGGGGGCAAGTCTGCAGTAAGCTGGCTGCTGCTAGGGCTACACTGTAGCACTACCTGAGCTAGTTGGTTGACAGCCAGCTCAGACCAGCCTAAATACTGACTCATTGCAGCAGCAATTGCAATACAGAAAGCTCCACTGCAGAGTAGCTATATGTCAGGAAAACTTCTCCCTGCCCTCCTGGCAATTTGCCTCAACTCTGCTCTACTGAGTGGGGTGACCTTCTTGGTCTGCCTCCTGAACATCTAGACAAAGGAACTAGGGCAAGGTAACAGACAGTAAGGACTTTCCATGGAGCTTCAGTTCTGTGGTACCTGTGCATCTACTGTCTCTTAGCCCCTGGTAAGTGAACATGAAAAAGGATGATGTTGTTTTGTTTCATGCTAGGGAAAGCTTCTTCTGTTTAGCTTTCACTTACCACTGGGTAAAAGTGGACAGCCAGACAGTTATCACATATCACTACCCCATGCTAAGCTCCTTTTTAACTGACTGAACTTTGTTTGTCCATAGCCTGAGCCTGCCAAGAAGAGCACTGTAATTAGTGACAGCTTTAGCAGCCTCATATGTGACAGAGCACGTATGTCCTTAGGAAAAGAACTGAGATCTTTCACAAACACCTAATCAAGTGGGGTGGCATCTGGATCAGAACTGATGACCCAACAGTGAAGGCCTGATCCATTTAGGTCCCAGGGTAAGAGCTTTAATCACTGATATTCTAAGGGGCCTTCATTTTTACATTATTTTTTCTAGCCATCAGAAAATATGCCTTACATGATGTTCATAGCTATGACCAGAATGTCCTTGATAAGGGTGCTTTGCAGCATGGAAGCATTCTTTGTCTTTCAGCTGCAAAATCTTCATAACATACTTTCACTAATAGAGAGAAAGAAGTTGATCTGTAGCTCTCATTATACCCCAGCATGACATGATATGTGTGTCACACTTTTTGCCTTAGGACAACCAAAATCATTTGTTGGATGTGCAACAATGTGTAAGGGTTTTACAAAAGAATTACCCCTGAGGCTGTTGAAGAGCTACAAGAAAACAGACCCATCCTGTCCCAAGTCTGTTATCATGTAAGTACACCATTTTCTCCTCTTAACATGAATTCCAGAATGAAATCATGAGCAGTCGTAAGAATAAATGGGCCCCAACTCTGAAGAAGCTTTTGTATCAAAGTAAAGAGCATGCAGGAAATTATTTATTGTATTCAGTGAATTATTTCTATTTAATACGAGATCTGGGCCTTCTGGCTGGTAGGAGCTGGACCCACTTGAAGCAGTCACTACCTATTTTGTCAGTTTTTAAGGGCAAAGAGGTGGAGCAGGGAAAACTGTAAGGGTTGTCTTACTAAGAGGAGACTGAGGAACAGAGTGATGAAGCCTCTTTCCTGGAATCACATATATAGGAGGGCTAGTCAGTTGTCTCACATGCCTTTAGTAGTAGACTAGTGCTTGAAAGCCCATCATCATCCAGAAAGCTCACAAGACTACAGAAATACATGTTTTAAAAACCTTGAGAATGATAAAATATTATGTAATTTTTATTTATAAGCTTGTTTATAAACCTGTACACAGAATTTCAGCCCTGGAGAAAAAGACAAGGAGATGATTTACATCTTTGAAGGAGTTACTTCACCTGGGTCTAACTCAACTCATGTGAGTTAGTCAAAGCACATACCTTTTTTTGGGTGTGAATAAAAGTACTGTGTGAGCATGGCATCAGCTACACAGCATTCCAGGGGGATAATTTGTCTTACTGACCTATTTCATAGCAGTTACTTGACAATGAATTCAAAAAAGAAAGTCTGCCCTAAGAAGCCATGCACATGATCAGAGGGCAAGAGAACAGGCCTTATGAAGAGAGGCTGCGAGCCATGGGACTCTTCAGCCTGGAGAAGCGCAGGCTCAAAGGGGACCTGGTGGCCACCTATAAATTTATCAGGGGTGCTTACCAGGATCTGGGGGAACGTCTGTTCACCAGAGCGCCCCAAGAGATGACAAGGTCCAATTGTCACAAACTCCTCCAAGACAGTTTTAGGCTGGACGTAAGGAAAAACTTCTTTACTGTCCAAGCCCCCAAGGCCTGGATCAGACTCCCTCCAGAGGTGGTGCAGGCACTTACTCTGGACTTTTAAGAAACGCTTGGATGTTTATCTTGCTGGGATCGTTTGACTGTAGCTGACTTCCTGCCCCTGGGCAGGGGGCTGGACCTGATGATCTTCTGAGGTCCCTTCCAGCCCTAATGTCTATGAAATCTATGAAACAGTGATTCATTATGATCTCCCACATTTATTAGATCTCTTATGTTATTTGTCTTTTATTTTATCTTTCCTAATATAAAAACCTAAGTGATTTCAGAACAACAACTGGGTTGATAATATTTTGGGAACATGATCTCACCAATTTCCACCAATGTAGAATGAGCTTCTGGGCTCACAAACAACCAACTTGAACCAGTTAATCTTGCTCTTAATCAAATACTGTGATTTTTCTGTTTTTCTTGATTGTTGCTGTTTCCTTTCTTGTTTCAGATTTAGTACTAAAAAGTCCAGGGAATTTTGTGCAAATCCAGAGGAGAGCTGGGTGAAGGTGAGAGTCACAGAACTTGACCGAAAAAATGCCCCTCCAACTCCTTCACCTTCAAATCCCATCAGTTCCGTATTACTACAAGAAAAGGCAGGCGTATTTCAGAGAGTTATTGGAGGTGTCGTGTCCACTGCAACCCAGACCAGTGGCTCAGTGAGTCCTAGTTACGTGGCTGGCACAACACTTTCAGAGGCAACAAATGTTTCTGCTGTAAGGGCAGAGGGTACAAACATAGCCACACTGGTTGTGCAAGAGTCTATGTGGCTCTCTACAAAACCTTCCTCTGTGATCCCAGGGACTAACACTGCTACATACTCTGATCCTGCTACATATGGGAATGAGGTTTCCATGAGACTTATTACACACCCAGCAGCTCATGCATCAGACACTAATCTCAGTGGACTGACTCCATATACCACATCTCCTGTGAGAAGGCCTGAGAGTTTTGTAGGATCCACACAAGAAGCCACAGGATCTTCTACAAGTGGAAAAGCTGATGTGCCAACCACTGAACCTTACAGATTTAATTCTTATACTACACCGGTCATGAAAAACTTTGAAAGCTACATAGAATCTACATGGGATCCCACAGAATCTTCTACAACCAGAAAAGCAATTGCATTGAGCACTATTACCAACAGAATTAATTCACATCCTACACTGGTCATGACAAGATCTCAGAGCTATATAGGATCTACAGAAGAATCCACAGGACCTCCTACAAGTACAAAAGCTGATGCGTCAGGCCCTGTTCCCAGTAGATTTAATTCTGATCCCACATGGGTCATGAAAGGGTTTGACAAGTCCATGGGATCAACAAACAGATCCACAGGAGATATTATAAGCCCAGTAGCTGACAAATCAGATGCTGACCCCAGAAGATTTACTTCAAATGCCCCATCCATTGAAAGCAGTCCTGAGAGTGCCATATTCCAGACAACACCTGCCGTAATAAAATCTGTTCCTAGCAAGCCTGCTGAAGAGTTTACACTGATGAGAAGAGTGATGGAAAGCTACACTATGAAAACTGAAGATGTTGTGAAAGAAAGTGTTGCTGTCACAGGACTCACTACACACTCCTCCTCTGTTGAAGGAGAAACTAGTTCATTCAGTAAGAACAGAGATAATGCAAGACAGGTTGGTAGTGACTCTGCTTCCAGGGGTGAGGCTAACACCTCTAACCATTCATATCCTGTAGAAAAGGAAGATTCTCCTCAGTCCATTCCTGAATCCATTTCACCAGCAGACACTTCAGTCTTTATCAGCACAACATCCCTAGAAATGAACAGAGCCAGGATGACTACAGAAATACCAGCTATACCATTTGTGTCTTCACACAGCTTTCTGGCTCAATACCAAATCTTGTCTACAGCCTGGCTTTCTTGGCAGCTGTTCTTTGTGTAGTCATATACATAAAGTGTATGACACCTGGTGGTGAAGTAGCTAAAGAAACGGTACAAGGCTTGCTTTTCAGTTGCTAGTCAGCAAGGCTATTGAATATGCAGTGGACGTTATCTGTGTTCTCTGAGACATGAACGTTGGCAGCTTCTATCCTACAAAAAAGTTAGAAAAAGTGCATTGATGCAAGGGATGATCCAAGTATGTCATGCCCTGCAGCAAGATGTTATTCAATTGCAAAACAAAATTGAAAACCAAAAATTAGAAATTGTGGCTGCTAAAAAGCAGGCACAAGACAAAATTGCAGACCAAGATTTGGAAATTGTGGCTGCAAAAAAAGAAATAGAAAATTGGAAAACTAATGTTCAAATACTTACAACACAGAACCTCAGCCTCATTAACACTGCAAAGAGGAAAGAGAAAAACAAAGAGAAGCAGAGGGAAAAGTTGAAAAACTAGAAGCTGATCATTGGAAGGCTAAGGCAGACAAGGCACAGGGAGGAATCAGGCAACTGGTGGAACAGAGCAGTCAGATGAGAGAACAGTGACATCCCATTAGGGATGGACAGCTAATTCATCATCCAGACCTGCATAAAAAGGTCCAGAAAGTTCAAACTTCAGCAGAACACACTGTTGTTACAGCACAACATGTGGGTAAAACAGTAATTCATTTGCTAGATACAGCAAAAGAAGCCACACGGCATTGCTGGTGAAAAACCCTTTTTGGATGCCCCCCTGACTGCTACTGGCACTCTAAATGTGGCCTTACAATCCTTTGTAGTAGTTTTAAGTATTGGTGTATTGTTAGCATTAATACAATGTATCCCCACATGTAGGAACCAGCAGCTGCTTTTAAAAATGAGGTCCCATGCTCATAAGGAGGAGCCAAAAACACTCAATTCAAATATACATAACTAGCACACAGGCATGTCTGGCAAGAAAATCTAACATTGGAGATGGTGGCCCCATTTGCCTTAATGGTAATGTTGCACAAATGGCTAGTTTCATGCCCCTGGAGGCTCTTTTCAATCCACCTCAAGGAGAGAGTCACACACAGTCAGGTTGGGTCCATCTTTTATTGTTTGCGCAAACAGATCGACTGAGGGGTTAAGTTACCCAAATCAGAGTCGACTCTGAGTTGTGCTCAGAGTTTTATTTTTATAGCTTACATAGGGTTTCTGCGTAACGATACGTGATTGGTTATATTTTCTTGGCAAAGCTTAATACATTCGTAATTTTAAAACATAATTATAGCAAAATTAATGTCTGTTAGTAACCTTGTATCTTAGTGTAACTTTAGGACATTAGATAAGGATGAGCAAGCATCAATCATTGTATTGACAGGAAGCCTTGAGCCTTGCCAAGCGTTATCCGAATTATTTTTTATTATGACAGGGTTTAAAGTTTATCCACTATAGGAAGAGGAAGAGAAAAAGCAGCCAAAAAGCAGCCCATAACTCAGCCGTGAGACCTTGTGTGGTTTGCTCAAGGGATTATGAGATATTTTTATTACACAGCTGCTACACAAGCATTATTGCAAAATCATAATGACTAGATTATAACGTATTGACTAAATTATAACATATTGACTAGATTATAACAGATTTGTACCACAACTCCCCCCTCAAGATGCTTTTTAACTCTATCTTTAGCAACGGTCAGCGATGGCCAATTTTTGATAACGTACAACCATCTTGTGGTTGACAACTGACCGAACAGTTCGTCTCAGAAGGGCCATGATACAAGGTATCATACAGGGAAGCAAGCAAAGCGTCGTCATTAATATACAGAAGGCCACTAGCGCACCCCTTAACCATCCAATCTGGGGAAGCCAGGAGGTTAACCAATCAAGGTTCCACCCATTCCATGTTTGGACTGGTACATGTGCTATCTTTTTTGTATCATCCGCTAAGGTCTTTATCAATTCACCATTATCATCGATTTTAACACAACAGTTGGACAAATTTAACTTCTTACACACCCCTCCTTCACTGGCAAGTAAGTAGTCAAGAGCTAAGCAGTTCTGCAGTATCGTAGTGCGTAGCTGGGTTAGCTGGTTGCCGATCAGACGCAAGGCTGCGGCAGTTTTGTTAGTGACTATCTCTGCTATGGCCTGGAGTCTAATAATGCGATTTGTTAGATAGGTGGGCTCCCTCCCAACCACATTTGGTTCCCAGGTAGCTGGGTCATAATATTGAATGATCCTCTCCGCTGGCCATTCATCGGTACCCCATCGCTGGCCCCCTCCTGCGGCTATCTTTTTAAAGGAGTTATCAGTGCTGCGCTTGACGCAATAGGTGTTGGGTTGTGTTGTCCAAGTGCCAAAAGATGCAGGCTCAGTTATCCAAACACCAGGAATCAAAGCGCCTAGATAACAAGTCCCTGTCCAATTAGGGGGAAGCTGTCTATATGCCCATCGCCCACAAATCCACCATAGACCACAGGTTTTATTGGTTATGGTGGAGTGAGAGAATATCAAAGTTAAAGTTAATGAGCCTCTTATCCTAGGGTTTGCTTTTATAATGGTACCGTTTTGACTGTGGGTACAATTGTGGCCCCAAACTGACATTTGTTCCTTACCCAATAGGCAGCCACAGGGTTCAAACATGTTATATGAGGTATTTGCACATACCCAAGCACCCTCCCGAGGGGCCACTTCTTTGGCAATCCATGTTTCTTGGCATTTTGACTGCCCAACCTTAAATCCCCCTTCCTGCTGGGAAATGCAAATAGAGCCCTTAATTTTTGCCACCAGGATTTTTCTAGAACCATTGTATCGTGAAGAGAAATTAAAATTGCGATTAAAGCCCCAATCAGAGACTATACCTGTTCTATTGAGGGGAATAGGCAAGAAAGGGACTCCCTCATCACTAGAAACAGGGGTAAGTGCACACAAAAGGCAACTATGGTTAGTTAAGACTCGGGCGGAGGTCTTGAGAAGGGTTACCCAGGAATTTCTCATCCATGAATCTGAAGGAGGGGCGGAGGGTTGGAGAGCTGAAGGCCAATCTTTAAGGATTGTGGACCAGAGTCCCTTCTGGTTGCCAGGGGGCAAGCTCATACAGGTAGTGTGTATACCAGGTTTATCACTTGGGGAGCTTTTACCAGTAGTATCATTGTAGTGTATTGTAATTTGCCGATAGGGGCAGCATGAGGAATTGGGATGTAGGTGGACCTTAACCAGATGAGGTTTGATACCTTGTAATTACTCATAGGAAGAGTTCCAGCATAGGTACTATCAATACATGTACAACAACCAGACGTAGGGCTATAGAGGCTTCTTGAGATATCTGAAAAGGGCAGGAGCCCAAAAATATAGATTAGAGTCCACATTTAAGCAAGCGTATCTTTAGATCTCCTATTGGTTTATTTTTTTATTTGTCGGCTTCTTGTTCCTGGGTGTTGTCAGCTTTTGGAGTGACCACACCCTGGGAGTTGGTGTCCTCTTGATGAAAAGGCTTTACTCTCGAACAGTGGGTTCACTTGTCACTATTTGCCAAGCGAACGGCTGTCTGTGTGGTCAGTAGTACCTGATAGGGTCCTTTTTACGTTTCTATCAGGGGATCCTTTCTCTACTTCTTTATCAAAACTTGGTCACCCGGCTTAAAGTTGTGGATCGGTGCATCAAGCGGGAGGCTCTGGAAGGGTGCAGCAAACCTGGGTAGGGAAGACAAAACAGACTGCAAGGCAACAACATGTTTTTAAATTTCAGATTTATCTAATTTTATAGTAACCTGTTCCCTCCACCCTGCTGGCAAGACTCTGGGAGGCATATCAAACATCAACTCAAAAGGTGACAATTTAATCCCTCTGTGTGGTGTGCTACGAATACGAGTTAAAGCTAGTGGGAGTGCCTGTGGCCATTTTAAATGAGTCTCAATACAGATTTTTGTTAACATGGCCTTCAGTGTTTTATTCATGCGCTCCACCTGGCCTGAACTCTGGGGTCTCCATGGAGCATGGAGCTTCTATTTGATATCTAAAGCTTTGGACACTTCCTGTACTATTTTCCCCGCAAAATGACTGCCTTGATCTGACTCAATAGACTCAGGCAACAGAAATCTGGGTATTATTTTGTAGAGTAGTACTCGTGCCACTGTGGATGTGGTAGCCGTTCTTGTGGGATATGCTTTTACCCATCCAGTTAATTGGTCAACTAGTATCAGCAGGTAATGGTACCGACCAGACTTGGGAAGTTCAGCGAAGTCAATCTGCCAAGCTTGTCCAGGATACTGGGCCCATGGTCTCTCTCCCATGGGAACTGGTGGTCTTGCGGATTTTGGGTTCACCTTCTGGCAGGTCGGACACTGAGAGACCACCCTCTGGGCGTCTAAGTATAGGCCTGGGGCCACCATTTGACGAGTCAACAAGTCCCCCATTGCAGTACCTCCCATATGAGTGGAGGCGTGCAGTTGATGGAGTATTTCTCCCAATAAGCCTCGAGGTATCAACACCTTCCCTCCAGGTACGATCTACCATCCCTGTGAATTTTTACTGGCCTTAAGCTCGGCGGCTAGCTTATCTGACCCTGGACCATACTTCACTTCACAATCTTCTAAATAAGAAGAGACCTCATGGACCGAGCCCTGAAACACTGCCTCTCCGCCCATCTGTGTTGCCTCTTTGGCTGCCACATCAGCCTTCGCATTTTCCTTTCTCTGGCGTTCGTCTGCAGCTTTGCCATGGCCTCTCACATGTATCACGGCCACCTCTTTTGGTAGCCGGAGGGCTTCCAACAGCATTATAATTTGTGGACCATTAGCAATCTTTTGTCCAGAGTTTAAACAGGTCATTTCAGAAATTGCTCTGAACATCTGAAAAGGAAACATTCCTTTGACACCCCACCAAATCTACATACTGAAGAAGAGATGAAAAATTATAAAAAGCCTAAGTAATAAAAGATTGTCTCTTAAAAGAAAGAAACAGATGGTGAAACAATCTGGGAGGGGGTTTATCAGCTCCCTGTTAAGTTTTGCTATCCCTCAAGGGGCTTTTGACTAAGCAGTGATGGAGCATGTGGAAAAAATGTACCTGGTGCCCAGCCACCAGATGGAGCATTAAGGGCTCCTCCACCACTTGAGTTAAATAGCAGAGGTGGCCCACTTATTGGATGCTGAAATAAGGGACATTCTCCAAAGGTCAGGTTTAGCTGAATATGATAAAGCTAAACTGTATGCTGCTGTGCTTCAAAAATACCTGACATATGTAAAGTAGGGTGACCTGGACAGAGGTAAATTAACTCTGTTTCTGCCAGAACTCCCTAGAAGCCACAAAGTCCCTAGAAACCCCAACAAATCCTGATCCTGTTGTTCAGGAAGTGTTGGATAATGTGCATGCCCAATATGGTCTTCTCACCTGTCCTTCCAGTGAGTGGAT